ATAAACATTATTCTTGGGATAATAAACCGAAATCATGTTCATTTTTGCTCTATATCGTAACTTCCTATACTATGCACAACCGGGCATATTTTCTTCAAAAATATGTTTTATATTTATGAAACGAATGCGTCTTGACCTTTCGGTGATGTCATTTAGACTATATGACAAAAATCGGAGATAATATATCCTATTGGACAAAATTTACAGACGACAATTTTTTTTGCTGATGTCCGATCTATTACTACGACGTCCTTAAATGTCTTTGGTTAAAGTTAAAGTATTTTGTCTCTCGTTTTTGATGTGTTAAGGCCAAGTTGGTTAACATATAGTATTTTAGATACGATTTTGACTCACAAGAAATGAACTTCTTCATATTTCAATCATACTATTATAGGCTGACGCAAGAATATGCATATACTTCATGTATACTTAAAAAAATTTTAATCGAATTAATTTTTAAAAGATTTTATATTTCAGAAATTATGTTTTTTAGAAAATTCAAATAAAGTAAATCTTTGTCCACCAAATGTCGCACGCTTTCTTCGTACTGGACAAATAATATCTATGTAAGGAGCATAGAAGAGAGAATGTCCTCGCTCTAATAGTATACTACTGTAAACGAAGTTTGAAAAATATAAACAAATGAAACTAATAAACAATTTCAAATTAATTACTCTTATTCTTTTCCGTATTGCAGGTGTGTGACTGGCCTGAAAATGCTGGTTGTGCCACCAATGGAGGTGTAGATGGAGGTAGCGGTGGAGGAAGTGGTGGAGATGGATGTAGTGGTGGAACAGGTGGTGGAGAAGGAGGTAGCAGCGGAGGAGGTGATGAAGATGGAGGTAGCGGTGGAGAAGGTGGTGGAGATTTGGTTAGCGGCGGAGGTGGTGCAGATGGAAGTAGCGGTGGAGGAGAAAACTGCGGGGGGGGGGGATAATAGTGGAGGAGGAAACTGCGGAGAAGGGGCAAGTTGCGGTGGAGGCAGTGGTGGAGGTGGAAACGAAAATGACGTCGATCAAGGAGAATTGCTTCCAAACGGATGTCCAAGCGACTTTGACATTCACAAACTTCTCCCACACGAAACAGACTGTGACAAGTTCTACTACTGCGTGTTTGGAGAGAAAGTGGAACGTACCTGTGCACCTGGCACGCACTTTAATCCATTGCTGCAGGTAAGTAGACAATAAAAATGCGTACGATTTGTATTCTTTTTTACCATTTAAAAGCCAGTGCTAGACTACCATCCCTACGGATAATAAGTAATGATGTAGTCGAAGATGGTAAAGCGCACTGACTTAGCTTACTAAGAAAGAAAGAAAGAAAACATTATTTGATTACAAAGTAAAAATAACACGAGACAAAAGTATTACCAAGAACTTGCCTTGAAGACACTGATATTGTTATCGGGTGGAGATACAGATGCTGGCAAATTATTTCACTACATTTCTATACGTATTTCGAACAACGAACCAAACCGTTTCATTCGAAAGCGTGATGTCGAAAACGGAATCATAGCTGGTCGAATGTCCGGTTAGATATGAATAACATAGAAGTTAGGCTTTTGTCTGTCTGTCTGTCTGTCCCCGCTAATCTTCGAAATTGCTGAACTGATTGTAATGAAACTTAAAAAAAGATAAAGAGCACTGCCTGTAGTGATAACTATTTCGTGCGATAAACTCGAATTTTTTAAAATGAAACGGACAATTGATAAAAGAAATGGTCTTTAATTACGTTAAATCTAAACTTCGTATCCTAGACCCAGGCGAAGCCGGTGTGGGTCCCTGGTTCCTTAATATAAAACAAAGTGTCAAAGTAACTTACAGTTTACCTAATGGTTAGTGGATGCTGGAAACCTGCAGCCAACTTTGTACAAAGGAGGCTACCAATGTGTTATCACCCCTCAAAACTAAGATGGAGTACGTCACAGCCTGTTATTATACTTGCTCTGTATATCCTGCGGACCGGAACACCGCAATCCAAGCACAGAAAAATAGGTAAGAGAATGGTACTCACCCAGATGGACTCTTGAGGGAGAGAAATATCATGCGATTCCTAAGCTCACTCTCAGAAATGTTTTCTTCTGTAATACAACGAAAGAGAGGATATTTTAAGACCTGTGCTCGAAACTGTTAAGATTGGCTTTAATCAAATGAATGTCAAAGATAAACCTCTTGCCACACATTTTTATTGAGTTCAAAGCTGCTAGCTGGCATTACACAGCACCAGCCTAAATTAGAAATATTACGTCGTGCACGATTGGAATTGTGCTTGCTTTGAACTAGGTTTGAGTGAACAAAATTGATATATCGAAATATCGATATTTTCTCATGAAATAACTATGCGATTTATTTTGGAGTTTCGCGAATTCGAATAGTGAGCGAATTCAATATTCGCATCAGTTTCGAATTTTATGTTTTTCGTCGTCCAACCATCTAGAAATAGCATTTAGGACCTTGTTCTACTACATCATGCAAAACTTGACGGTATATGGATATTTATCACGCGATATATATCAATACTGCTTGTCCACCTAATGTCGCATGCTTACTTCGTGCTGGACAAATAATATGTATGCAACGTAGAAGGGAGTAAATCCCCCCCCCCTAGTAACATATTGCATTGCACATTAAAAATTAAATTAATAAACTATTTTAAATTATTCACTTTTATTCTTACCCGTATTGTAGGTGTGCGACTGGCCTGAGAATGCCGGTTGTACTACCAATGGAGGTGGAGATGGAGGTAGCGGCGGAGGAGGTGGTGGAGATGAAGGTAGTGGAGATGGAGGTAGCGGCGGAGGAGGTGGTGGAGATGAAGGTAGCGGTGAAGGAGATAATGGAGATGGAGGTAGCAGCGGAGAAGGTGGTGAAGATGGAAGCAGCGTTGGTGGAGGTGGAAACGAAAATGACGTCGATCAGGGTGAATTGCTTCCAAACGGATGTCCAAGTGACTTTGACATTCACAAACTTCTCCCACACGAAACAGCCTGTGACAAGTTCTACTACTGCGTGTTTGGAGAGAAAGTGGAACGCACCTGTGCACCTGGCACGCATTTTAATCCATTGCTGCAGGTAAATAAACAATATAAATGCATTCGATTTGTATTCTTTTTTACCATTTAAAAGCCAGTGCTAGACTAATAACAATAATAATAATAATAATATTCCTGTAGTCGTCTCTGCGAATGGGCTAATCCCAGTCAGCCTCTCGGGTCATCTGAGGCGACTGGGACTCCGTGACGGACCGCACCGGCCTCAATGCAGAAGGCGGTGCTCCTCGGTACCGCCCGCATCGTCCGCCGGTTTCTTTCCCTTTCCCCCTAACCCTCGGCCGTTTGGTCTCCCCTGCCGAGGGCTCCCATCTGGTTGGATCTTATTTATTTATGTAGTTTTTGTACTTATTTTATTTTATTGATATTTATGTATATTTATCTTTTCATTTTAATTTATAATTATATATTTATAGAACCCAACCAGGTGAGAAAATTATATAGATACCCCAATAATAATAATGATGTCCTCCAGACCGAATTTCAGCCACGGCGGCCTGCCTCAACGGATACTAGCCATCAGCGCAGGATAGGATTATAGTGCCCAAGAGTATGCGCAAGCAGAAATGCACTCTCTATTCTCTCACTCTCATAACCCGATGGGACGGTAAACCGACACGAGAGACCGGAGAGAGATCAGGCGCAAGACCGACGGCTTTACGTGCTTTCCGAGGCACGGGGGGTGAGATACCGCCAACTTCCTGACTCCGGGCAGCTACTGAGAATTTCTTGACAGAAAACTCAATAGTTGATTTTTTGACCCGACCAGGGATTCGAATCCAGGACCTCATGATCAGTAGTCGCACTACGACAACCACTAGACCAACGAGGCAGTCTGAGTGCTAGACTACTATCACCACGGATAGTAAGTGGTGATGCAGTCGAAGATGGTAAAGCGCACTGACTTAGTTTACAAATAAATAAAGAAAGAAACACGTGACAAAAATATTATCAAAGAATTAGTGTAAAGTAAAATTTGGTCTCTATTTCAGCTAACTGCTAATGTTGATTTTCAAATAGACGGACGTAGATTACTTATAGTTAAAAATTAAAACAAAAGCCTATTCACGCTTTCCTTGAAGTCACTGATATTGTTATCGGTTGGAAAGACAAATGCTGGCAAATTATTTCACTACATTTCTGTAAGCAGTTTTAACAACGAAGCAAACCGTTTTGTTCGAATGCATGTTGTCGGAAACAAAGTCATACAGACTGATCGACTGTCTGGTTATTAAATAAATTAGAAGTTTCTGTCTGTATATGGAACAAACTGACTTCCATTAGGCTTAGGTGGAGCATTTGCATGACATTTAAATACGTATAGCACTTTTTTTAGTTTTCGACTGTCTGTCTGTCTTTCTTTACTAAGCTCCGAAATTGCTGAACCGATTGTAATGAAACTTCAAAAAAATAGCTACGCCTGGAGTGATCTATATTTGTCCGATTAACTGGAATATTTAAAGTGAAACGAAAAATTGATAAAATAAATGGTCTTTAATTAATGATTTCTTAAATTTACGCGAACAATACACATTAAATAAAACTATATTTACGGATTTTATCGTGTTTAATAACTTATTTTTAATTCCCGACGTTACGGGCGCTTTACAGCACCCATGTTCACGGGGTGAACTGAAATATTCGACTTCCCACTGTCATAGTTAAGCGGGCTACCTTCAGTTTTTGAATATTAATTTTTAATCCGATCTACGCAAAACGAGCTTACAGTATCTTGAAGTCTTGCAGTGGTACGCTTGGGTTTGGGTTTAATTTTGTTAATCATAGGATCCCAAGCAGAGGCAGCACCCATTCATTTTCTCCATTGAAATTAAGAGGTTTTTCAATTTCAATAGCCTTGTGATGATGATCCTTTGTAGGAATCGGTGTACTTTTGCGAGAATTTGTGCTTTATCAAATTTGATATAATGGTGGGGACGATCTTGAACATGTTCATAGACTGCAGACTTACCGGAGCGTCGGTTCTTCATGTCAGCTATATGTTCTTTCTCGCGGGTTTTTATAGATCTTTTTGTTTAACCCATGTAAGAGAGACCACATTTACAATCTAGCTTGTACAATACTGCATCTTGTAGAGAAGTATTACACTTGAAGGATAGTAATATTGACTAATCTTCTTCGGCGGCTTGTAGTATGTTTTAATAGAAGCTCGCTTCAAGATGTAGCCAACCTTGTCTGTGACTCCTCTGACATATGGTAGTACAGCAGGTACACGCTCGACTGTGGTGGGCTTCACTCGGTCACTGTGAAGTAGGCGCGGAACCCGAAGCTTGTTGCCTTGCAATACTTGCTTGACGTGCTGGAGCTCGGGGGCCAAATGTTTTATGTCACAGATCCCCTGTGCCCTCTGAGACAAAGATTTACCCACGGTAGCTAACTGTGAAGGATGATGGTGAGATTCACCATTTAAATATCGGTTGGTATGGGTTTTTTTCCTATACACCGTGTAACCAATAGTGTTATCAGGATTTCGGATCACTAAAACATCTAATAAAGCTAAAGAATTATTGGCCTCCAACTCAATTTTGAATTTTATTTTAGTGTTTATGGAGTATGAGTATGAAAATGCAGTTACTTTGTCAGATGGTAAAATTGTGAAAGTGTTGTCTACTTACCGCTTGTAGAATCTTGGATTTACAGGAGCAGTAAGAAGTGCTTTCTCTTCAATTTCCTCCATGAATATGTCAGCGACTATGGGAGACACAGGTGAACCCATCGCCACATCATCTACTTGCTTGTAGAACTCTTCTTTCCACAATAAATAGCCAGATTTGAAGCAGTGTTTGAATAATAATGCATATTCTGCAGGCATGTTGTTATCTTCTATCTTCCTAGTCACAATTGAGATGCAGTCTTCAATAGGTAGGCATATGAATAGTCACTGAACATCAAAACTGACCATAGTTTCATTGTCAGTGAGATGTAGGTCTTCATTCTCAGTAATAAAATAGTATGAATCCTTCTGTGTGCTCTGGTATGTCCTCTCAGTGGTGACAGTATTTTTTCCAAGTTTTCTGCCAGCTTATAAGTCGGTAAATTGAGCTGGGTCACTATGTGATGTAGTGGAACCCTTTGTTTGTGTATCTTCGGTAACCCATACAACCTCGGTGGTTTGGTACATGATGGTATTAGCGAATTCACGTTGATATTTAATTTTTCGGAGTATTTCTTTATTAAATCGCTAGTTGTTCTAAGCGCGTTAGTTGTGGAGTCTGTTTTGACCCTATATATATATACTTTCGTCCGATAAAAGTTGTTATATTTTAAAATTATTAACATGGCGTGTCCATTATTACCGTAGCTTTTCCTTTATCCGCGCGAGAATCGTTCTCCGCTCCGCGGAGCTCCTTCTGTTCAGTAAGGAACTAAAAATAAGTTATTAAACGCGAGAAAATATTCATAAATATAGTTTTATTCAATGGTCTTTAATTACTAATGTTATATTATTTGACAAAACATTAAGTAACAAAAGTAGCTACAAAGCATTCGTGTGCTTTTTTTCGTTGTTTTTGTTCGTTGTCCAACCGTTTAGTAATACCATTTTGGACCTTGTCCTACCAAATCATGCAAAACATGACGATATATCGATATTTATCACGTTAAATTATATCGATACTTTTTGAAAATATCGATACGATATATACCGATTTTTTTTAACTTGCTCATCCTTTTGAACTAAAGAATAAACAGATAAAGGACACGCTACAGATGCCTGTTTAGTCTAATAAACCGGAGACCCTTTTTAATGCGTGGTGAAAACGCGTCTAAATATAAAATATTAATCGAGGATAGAATAATATAGTGCTTAAGAAACAGAAACAGAATCTTTTTTATTCAATATAGTTTACAAATAATACTTATTGAAATTGATTTTAATATAACACTCCACTGGTTTGGAAATAAACCTTTGTCTTAGGAAGAACTAGCAAAAATAGCACACACTTACCATCACGTGGTCTGTATACTCGTTTCGCACCCATATTACTTCGAAAAAGGTTGTAAGTTGTGCGAAAACGCTGTAAATGTTGCGAAAATGAGTTATTTGTATTTTATAAGATACGTAAACGATTATCCATACTCAACTTAACCTGAAAAATCATGTGCCAATATAATGATGACAGGATCGGTGAGGTTGAAGTTGGGACTGCGTACTTCTGTTGTAGGCGTTTTGCATTTATAAATTGGATAAGGACGCACAACTACATCCACGATAGTTGTGCGACATGCGAGTTTGTGACTCACAGCACTGCTGAAAAGTTCATCGCTACTATTAGTATAGGTTTACTTCGTTAAAGTTAAACTATTTTATGTCTGTCGTTTTCATTATGTTAGGGCTAGGTTGTATAAAATATAGTATTTTAGACACGATTTTGACCAGCGAGAAATGAAACTTTTTGATATTCTAATTATGCTATTGTATATAATATTATATTGTATGTAATTTGTTGGGAAAAAATAGGCGCATACTTGAAATACTCAATTAAATTCTTAATCGAATGGATTTTTAAAAAAACTTTATATTTTACGATATAATTTTTTGATTTCTTATATTTACGCAAACACTACACATTAATTAGTTTCGGGTGCTTTCTTGCACCCATGTTCACGGGGTCACTTCAGTCCTCCGTGACCATGGGTGCCGGAAAGCACCAGAAACGTCGGGTATTAAAAATAAAATAAATAAACGCGATAAAATCCATAAAAGTAGTTTTAATCAACAAGATATAATTTTTTTCGATATTTCAAATGAAGTAACACTCTGTCTACCGAATGTCGCACGCTTACTTCGTGCTGGACAAATAATATGTATGCAGCGTAGAAGGGAGGAAATCCTCCCCTTAATAGCATATTGAAAATGTTGTCTGAAAATTGTAAAAAATTAAATCAATATGCCATTTTAAATTATTCTTATCCGTATTGTAGGTTTTCTACTGGCCTGAGAATGCCGGTTGTGCTGCTAATGGAGGTGGAGATGGAGGTAGCGGCGGAGGAGTTGGTGGAGATGGAGGTAGCGGTGGAGAAGGTGGTGGAGATGAAGGGAGCAAAAATAAGTGCGAAGTTGGCTGCAATGTCCTCCCCTGGCCCCATGAAAACGACTGTGATAAATTCTGGCGTTGTGACGGTTCCACGGCTGTTTTAGTCCTTTGTTCTGAAGGATTGCACTTTAACCCAAAAACCTTCACCTGTGACTTCATCTGTAACGTCTCTTGCAGCAGACAAGACGTTGAATCGACGGCTTTAGCTGATGGCCTCAAAGTATTCCTACCTTGGGGCAAAATGAACCCCAGATTAGCTCGGATGTATTTGAATAACAATATGAATTTTTAGGTTAAAACAAAATTAAAAATGTGTATTTATAATAAAAATAATCTGTGCAATTCATTTATTTATTTTTTATTTATTCTTGACCTTTGCTAAAATTATTTCACAGTATTAAAAAGTTTTTTTTTGTAAAATATAAGCAACAAATGAGCTTACTGCCCATCTGATGGTAAGTATTTACTGCAGTCCATGGGACATCTATAACCAATTTCAAACGAAGAAGACTACAGATGCGTTGTCACCTCTGAGAACTAAGATAGAATCCCTTCAGACCAAACCGAATACTGAAAAAAATTCTGCTGCTAGAAATGGCCCCCTTCAGTTGAAGAAGGTACTGCTTTAATCGTCACGCTTATGTGGATTGGCGATTGTACTCGTAGTATCCGACGTCTTGATCATTTGGCGCAGCTGCCTATCACCAGTTTGAGTATTTTACATCTGGCGTAAACGAGATAGTTGCCACCTATAAGCTACAAACGACTTTTTTTCAATTAGATTTAATATATAATAATAATAATAGAATTAATATAATGAACTAATATTAATATTTATTACTTGTACTTTCTAACTATTATGAAAGGATTGTGACGCCATGACAAAAGATGGATTTTGTAAGTAGTAAAGGTGGATATTGTAAGTACGATTTGCTAACTAAGGTTGACAAAGGTCTTGGACCATACAGTTTTAGGGTCAAAGAAAACAATAATGTTCTCCAGACAGAATTTCAGTCACGGCGGTTAGTCTTAACCGGAGAGAGATCTAACGGCTTTGCGTTCTTTCCGAAGCACATGGGTGAAAACACTACCAACTTCTTGACTCCAATTTTGGAATGACCGTGGATTTGAACTCAGGACTTCCGGCCCGCTCAAGTAAATTTTAATGGATTGTATCGCCTTTAACTTTTTATTTCCCGACGTTTCGAGTGCTTTGCAGTACCACAGGAAGGAAACTGAGGTGTATAACGTCCCGGTGTCGTAGTTAGCGCGGTTTTTTAGATTTTTGGTGAATGGTCCTATAGTGAGCCAGATCGATTCATCAACTTATAAGTTGGCACAACACTTGGTACTAACACTGTGAACTGAACTGAACTGAACCATCGAAACACACACTAAAGCACACACAACGGGTTTTTTTCCATTTTGTTAGTGAGATAAAATACCAACACCTGAGCTACTCAATGCTGTTGTGTTTCGTATGGTGAGTGTAGAGAACCGGAGACCCATTTACTGGAAACAAGGCATTCCATCTTAGTCCTCACGAGTGACAACGCATCTGAATTTTGATTCGTATTTGAGAATAGATGTAAATGTCGATGGGTCATAGAACCACTTACCATGAGGTGAACTGTGAGCTCATTTATCACGCTATCCTATAAAATAAATCTCGCTGACAATAAACTATGGTCAGTTTTGATGTTCAGTCACTATTCACATGACTACCTATTGAAGGCTGCATCTCAATTGTAACTAGGAAGCTAGAAGATAACAACATGCCTGCAAAATATGCAGTATTACCAGTGGCGAAGCTAGGGCTCCAAAGCGAAGCTAGGGCAAGCCCAAGATATGGTTTTGTTGTTTTTAGCAGTTTTATAAAAATACACCAATCTTGATCTGTCTCCACTCTTTAGTTTCATAATCAGTGATGTCAAGGACGTGTTTAACAAAGCACACAGAAGGCATACTACCGCTAGATAGATTGAATGACATATGCAATTGCATACCTTCGGTGGCTTTGAAAAGAGCCGATTGGATTTGCTTGAGCGAAAGAAAAAGATAATTACATACAATACAATACATGAACAAAAGAAAAGCATGAACAAAATACAAACAATCTAGCTACAAAATTAAAAAAGGGACGCCTGGCAGATGTGAAACATCGAAATTATTTTGTTTGAGTTATATGCATAGAAGAACAGATTACGACAGGAATTAAATATGGTATAATGAGAAGATAAAGTTTTGCAAATTTTTTTTACCATAAAATAATGACTATTTATTATATAATTATTTATTTTCAATTTTAATAAACCGTACAAAATTATATTTTAACTCTAAAGGTAATATAAATATAAAATTTGTCGATAGCTAGTTTGTGCCATCTAGCGTAATCTTTACGTGCCACCGTGAGAATCAATGAATTAAGTAGATGGCGCTATTAAAATTTTATTTACTGAAAGACTAAAGGAAACATTCTTTAAAAACATAAATACATGTATTCATTTAATTTATTACATTAAAATTTTGACTTCAAATTAAAAAAGATTGTAACAATTATTTGCTATAAAATTAAACTTCTACCATAGGTATTTCACATTTTGTGCTGCAGTTCAAAATATAAGTATTTGAGTTATTAAACCTTTAAATACACCTAGATTAATTAAACTTTAATCCTAAAGAGTCCTGTGCCTATTAAAGTATGAAGAAATGTTTATTGAATTAAAATTTAGTCATCATCGTCATCATTACAGCCATTCACAGTCCACTGCTGAACATAGGCCTCCCCCAAGGTATGCCACATAGCACGTTCCTGAGTCACCTGCATCCATCGACTTCCTGCAAGTCTTACCAGGTCGTCACTCCATCTAGTGGGGGGTCGCCCTACACTTCGCCTACCGGTACGAGGCTGCCACTCGAGAACCTTTTTTCCCAACGGTTGTCGGTTCTTCGAATTATATGGCCTGCCCATTGCCACTTCAGCTTACTAATCCATTGGGCTATGTCAATCACTCTGGTTCTACTGCGGATATCCTCATTTCTAAGTTTATCACGCAGAGAAACCCCGAGCATATCCCCCTCCATAGCTCGCTGAGCGACTTTGAGCGTCCTCATACGGCCAGTAGCGAAGGACCACGTCTCGGTTCCGTAGGTCATCACTGGCAACACGAACTGTTTGTACAACTTAGTTTTCAGGTTTTGAGGTATACCTGACGAGAAGATGTGTCGTAATTTCCCGAACGCTGCCCAGCCGAGTTGAATACGTCGATTGACCTCTCGGTCGAAGTTGGACTTACCTAGTCGAACTATTTATCCCAGGTAAACGTACTCGTCAACAACTTCGAGCTCAGTGCTCCCAACAACTACCGGCATAGATGTAACATGGATATTAAACATGATCTTTGTTTTGTACATGTTCATCTTAAGTCCTCCAGCGATTCTGTCATAAGGACTATATCGTCGGCAAATCGAAGATGAGTGAGGTACTCACCATTGATATTAATTCACTTCAGCACTTCGATATACCGACAGTCAACTTGGCACCACTGAAGAGACTGTAGCACCGACCAAATTTCAACGGAATCAAAGACTTTTTCATAGTCCATATACGCCAGGCAAAGTGGCAGATTGTACTGTTCAGACTTCTGTACAATTTGTCGAAGGGTATGTATGTGGTCTATGGTACTAAAGCCTTTTCGGAAACCGGCTTGTTCGGGAGGCTGGAAGTCGTAGAGGTGCGTGCGAGAAGATTCGTAATGACTCTCGAAAACAGCACGTAGACGCGGCTCAGAAGGAATATCGGTCTGTAGTTCTTCAAGAGGGCGTCACCTTTCCTACGCCTCGGGAGTAGTACCATGGGAAGGATAGAATTTAAGAGCTTCTGAAGGCCTTAAAGTACCGGTTTTCCACCCGCTTTCAGAATCTCCGCTGTAATTCCATCCTAGCCCGGGGACTTGCCGTTTTTAAGGTGCTAGAGAGCCATTCTAATCTCGTTCAGACTGACGTCCGGGATATCATCGGAATAGTGTTATAGACTTGCTCTTGGATCGTTTCTCATACTTGCGTGTAGCTCCAACGTTGATGTGTACAACAGCCCATAGCACCTCTCAATCTCACTCAGAATATCAGGTGTCCCGGAAACGATGCTGCCACACTCAGTCTTCAGATTCGACAGTTGGCTCTTACTGGCAGACAGATCTCTGGCAAAGACTTTGGAGCCCTGGTTCCGCTCAATCGCTTCTTCAATACGAGCTGTGTTGAAGTTGCGTAAGTCCTGCCGCATGCATTTGGAGATCTGTCTGTTCAGTTGCCTGTATGCTGTCAAATCTGCTGACGACTGCAGCTTCATCGCCCGTCTAACATCCATGAGTTTAAGCGTGTGATCGGAGAGTTTTTGTATTCTTTTGCGTCGGGTCTTACAAACTTAGCTCTGACCGCATGGACAGTTTCCACGAGTTTGTCATTCATATCGTCCACTGTATTGCAGTCTTCTAAGCACTGAAAACGGTTTTGTAATTCGAGCTGAAAGTTTTCGGGACCCTGGATCAGCGCATGAGGAGCGTTGACTTCACTAGACGAGACCTCTCCAACTTACCGTTTAAGTTCAGTGTGCCTCTACCCATTCGGTGATCGCTGCTGGTTTTCACACTCGCGATCACTGAAACATCACTGAACAGTTGGCGTCTGATTGTCATAATGAAGTCAATGTCATTTTTTGTCGAACCGTCGGGGCTCGACCAGGTCCACTTCCTGTGGGGCCGTTTCTGGAAGAAAGAGTTCATCATAAAGAGTTCCTCTTTCTCCATAAAGTCGGCCAGCTGCTGGCCTTTACGGTTTCATTGCCCTACTCCAAATTTCCCCAACTTCAGCTTACCGCTCTCTCTTGTGCCTAGTTTTGCATTGAATTCTCCCATCAACACCGTGTAAAGGGTTTTGGAGGAATGCATGGCTCTATAAATATCCTCATATATTTCCTCCACCTCCTCCTCGAGATGTGCCGAGGTTGGTGCGTAAATCTGTATGACCTTCAGCGAATACCGTTTGGTGATTCTGCTGATCAGGTATGTGGCCCTCGTTGACACCCTCCCAATCTTTACAACGTTGTTGACGAGACTTGTGGACGATAAATCCGACACCTCCCTGGGACAGATGGTCGCCCTTCCGGTGATAGAACAAGTTGCCGGACTCGAGAATTACCGAGTCCTCCCCCTCTCTTCGGACCTCAGATAATCCAATAATATGCCAGCGCAACTTGTCTACCTCTTTTTCCAACTCCAGTATCTTCTCGTCAGT